TTCTCGCCCCGTTCAACACTCGTAGGTTATATAATTTAATTTCCTATAATATATATATAATATAAATATATTCCTATAATATAAATATATAAACTGGCTGTATTTGGTGAGCATTTGTAAGGAACAAATTGGCATCAAAGACGCTACTTGATTTCCGCCGCACCACTAACGTTGTTCTTTGTACAGTCACGTCTCATGACTTCCACAGTTCCTGGCCTCAAGTTATTTTAACAGCAACGACGTTGTGTTGTACCACATATAAATCAGACCGCAAGCATAATACATTGAAAGCATAGCGTTATGCTAGGCATAACACCAGTGTGACGATGTGACCTCCTTACACCGTCATCTCACCTTTTTGTATCGCCTCTCTCGGCTTGTATCCTATCACTTTTCTTATTTTACATCTATTTAAATTTTAAATTTGAATTGTTCCATCTTCCTTCACTTTCTCATTTTGTTAACCGACTTCAAAAAAGAAGGAGGTTCTCAATTCGACTGTATGTTCTTTTTTTTTTTAATGTATGTATGTTACGCGATAACTCCGGCATTTGTGAACCGATTTCCATGATTCTTTTGTTGGAAAGGGGGTACTTCCATAGTGGTCCCATTTTATTTTGAAGAAAATCATCCACCTCTAAGGGTGGCTGTTCACGCATGAATTTTCATTTTTATAAATAGCGCCTAACTTTAATTTAGGAGCAATTACTTTAATGCTTGATTTTGCTATTTCTTCAATTGAAGGCGTTTTTCTCTCGATATACTTTGAGTAGTTTCGTAGTGAGAACCTATTTTTATTGTCTCCAGTGTCAAGTCCTGTACAGTGGCGAACTAGGGGATATTTCAATAAAACTTAGCAAATAAACGTAATTTCACGTACTCTTGAGGTCGGTTTTTTTAGTACTCTGTACTGAGATTATTTTCGTACCACGGTCACTCCTAGCTCGACCGCCACAACAGTTGGAGCTGTTTCCAATTCCATCGCGAATAATCGCTAATTTTGGTTCTTTACTACGTTTATAATCATTTAATAAGCTAAATCATGTGTAATAATTTATAACAATCTACAACCTTCGTGTACCTATATCTGTAATTCAGTTGCTCGGCCTATTTAGGGCCCTTTCTTTAAACTTTATTTCTTTAATAAATTTTGTGGACCCGAAGTTTCCCATTTCATTGCCGTGAACCTGTTCACGGCTAGTTAGGGTTACAACTTTTTCACCCTTATGGCATCGCTCTTACGTTGCGACACACCGTATTGTTCGTGTGGCACTCGGTGCGTTGAAATCATAGAGCGGTTATATATAGCCACTTTCAGAAGCTCTTTCGATTTACAGGCGATTGCATGTCGGTGAAAACGCGCGACTGCATCGACGCAGCCGCTTATGTTAGACCATCAAAGAAGCAAATTGTGAACAATTGTAACGCTGCTAACTTCCGGGTACACGAGCTTTAGCTTGCGTTTTTCGCTCGCTTGCATTTTCGCTGCTTAAAAAGTTACGATATGATACAATACTTGTCAAAATACCTAAAAAGTGTCGAATGAAATGTCCACTACAAAGGTATCGGTATCGGAAGGAAAAGTACTCGAAACTAAAATGTATCGATACCTTTTTCCATGTCCCTACCCGTGTGGCATCGCTCTTAGTCAGGGAGGGACGACATGTGGTTTGAAGATAATATTCAGATTTAACAATTAATATTTACATTTTTTTATTATAATTTGCTTAAAATAATGTATTTAAAAAAAAGACGATTTGCCACTAGCAGTTTGTATCAACTATCAAATTTAGCCACTGTAAGGAAACTCTCATCACTCAAACTGTACTCAGACAACATAGGTCTCTAAAATATGATCTAAATATTTCGAAGAGGAGAAGGAAAGACATTGTGGTACAAGTACCTAAAGTAAATACAACACTTGCAAACAGACGATCGGCTCATTTGTACAATTTAATTAATAAAGTATCAGAAATATATGCCAAAAGTTATAAAGACTGCAAGAAAGTTATATCAAAATGGCTAAAGTCGAAATCGTATGAGGAAACCGTAGATCTATTAGAACACTTGCTCTAAAAAGACTACTTTCCTAATCTATGGCAACAGGTTAACAACACACACATACACTTTTTCATATACAAAAGCATACGCACTAACACACACATACATTTTAAGATTATAATTAAATTTAAAATTAGAAGTGGTACCATCCACTGTTCATGTAACGTTAATTGTATAACTGAAATAAACATTTTATTTTATTATTATTTATATTTATTTATTGTTATTTTTTTTATTAATATTTAATTTATTTTATTTATTTTAATATTTACTTGCCTTTGTAAATTTCTTTAGTAAGATGAACTAAGTGGAGCTTCATCATTCGTCGCTCCCAGTGCCCATATTTGGCTCCGGAAGGCTCATTACCACGGAATACGTCATCAGGATGACGGGCCTTTCCCCCACTATAATCTGTTTATATAAAAAAAGACTATATAAATTAGAGTTGTCACGAATATATCGAATGTTCGTTATTATTAACTTAAAATACACAGGTAATAATAAATAATATTAAATACATAAACCCTTTGTAGATGAGAAATAATAATATAAATAAAGGGACAGTGGAACAAAGATGAAACTCATGAAATGAGAAAGTGATCCTTGACACGATGTTTGAGGAATTAAGAGGAGATTATCGAATAGATTCTGGGAGGGAATTCCACAGCCAGATCGCAAACATGATGAAAGAGTTGGAATAAACGTTGGAGGCATGGGGGGTATGCAAGGAACCAAGGGGATGGCAAAGTGTAAAAGAGTCAAAAGTAAAGCGTTGTTTAAGATAACGAGGCATACAGGGGTTGAATAAAGTCGAATACATAGGGGAAAACCATTTAAGTTATGTGCGAAATTAGTAAACATGATCAAATGTACGTATCCCGAAGATGAACATTACACACATATTTAAAAGCGCTTGCACTGCCGGCGATACACTCAGCGGTATCCGCTCACGCGATACATGCAGCCGTAGTATAAACAACTTCAAAAATACGTCACGACAATCGTGTGTGTTATTGTTTGGGCTGGTGATTTAGGTGTTTGTTTACTGAAAACATACCTTAAGTAGCGTTTTTTAAGTTTACCCTGAATATAAATGTTTGTAAACTATACTTTAAGGAGTAATTTCATGGTAAACGTTAGAACCACTCAAACGGAATATTATCATATTTATCCAAGTACACCAAAAATTTCATTAGTGCTTTTTAAGTGCAGGATTTGCGGTGTATTACTGCATTTTATTTGATATGTTTTTGTTGGTAGTACGGAGGGTATTTATTTAGCAATGCAGAATAATAATTTTTATTTATAAAACCTTGTATTTAAACTGAATGCTTTTCTAATTTGCGAAACCAAATAGCCGCCATTTTGCGGTAGGAGGAGCGCATTGCGTGAGCGGGTATTTACAGCGTAACCTTTTTTTTATAATACTAAGTGACGGGACGAACAAGTCGTGTGGCAGGTGGTAAGCGTCACGCCTGTCCCTAACAGTCGCAGTGTCACTCAGACTTTTAAATCACAAAGATTTGGGAGGCACTGCCACTGCGCCTGACACCCTGAGACATAAGTTGACAAGTCCCATGTGCCTGTAATTTCACCAGCACCCTTACCCTTCGAAACTGGAACGCAGTTCACATTACTGCATGCCAGCAGACATGGGTAAGGTGGCAGTAGATCCCTGGACGTACTCTTTCACAATTAGCTCTACTGCTACTAAAGCCTGGACCGAATGACGGAGCCCTTTCATTCCAGAATATCAGCGAAGACAATGTACTTCATTGTCCTCTTTTTTGAGAGATGAAGCCATTTGAGGTGTTCTTTTTATTACTTTTTTTCATTGACTTACAAATAAATGGACGACGGGTCTAATACAAAAACCACGAAAAAAATGTCCCAAGTCAACCTATTTAAACGTAGTGACATGTAAAGGAATATGTAAAAGCTAAAACGTTGAATTCATATTGTAATGTCATCGCAGTACTGTCTAATTTTGCTTGTTTCGCTGTCAGAAGAAACAAACGAAGACTAAAACGTGAATGACGCTATGTATACGATTTTAACGCCCTATAAGTTCGGACACTTTTTAGCGCGGACCCGACGCGACGTCCATATAATTGTAAGTCAATGATTTTTTTACTTTCTTTCATCCCGTGCCGTCCCGCCCGTTTGTACCTACGTTACACAATTGACATAGTTTATTATTAACCGACTTCAAAAGTCCTCAATTTAACTGTTTTTTTTGTATGTTACGCGATATTTACTACCAAAACGTAAAATAAAAAAAAAATATTCCATATCCCGCATCGTAGAACTAATCTCGCTCTAAACTGCCCAATTTTACGCATATGCAGAGAGTATAATGCAATTAATATAGTGATTTTATTGACATAGATATTTTTAATGACACATATAACCGATTCAAACAAAGATTACTGAATTCATTGACTTACAAATAAATGGACGACGGGTCTAATACAAAAACCACGAAAAAAATGTCCCAAGTCAACCTATTTAAACGTAGTGACATGTCAAGGAATATGAAAAAGCTAAAACGTTGAATTTAAATTGTAATGTCATCGCAGTACAGTCTAATTTTGCTTGCTTCGCTGTCAGTCGAACAAACGAAGACTAAAGCGTGAATGACGCCCTGTATATACGATTTTAACGCCCTATAAGTTCGGACACTTTTTAGCGCGGATCCGACGTCCATATAATTGTAAGTCAATGGTTTTGGTCCAAAAAGAGCCCGTGTGTCACTTACATTCTGGAAATGCTTTTTGGGCTTCCACATAAACAAGGCGGTTGGAAATCCACAGGAGACCTGCTGATCATTTTAAAGAAATTTCAAATGTACATATATGATGGCACCAATGATCGATATTTTAAGGGAAGCGTGTCTTTAAATTTTCAATTATTTCTTTTAAATTTGTGTAGATTAAATATTTGTGTAGTTACTATATATATTTTAATAAATTCAAGTGTCGGGAAGAACAAGTCGTGTTAAAAGCCATTTAAGTTGTGCCCGAAATGAGCAAACATGAACAAATTTACGTAATCAAAAGACGTACCTTACACACATATTTAAAAGCGCTTGCACTGCCGGCGATACACTCAGCGGTATTTACCGCGTAGCCTTTTTTTTTATAATACTAAGGGACGGGGCGAACAAGTCGTGTGGCTGTTGTTGACATTACTGTTTGGCGGCAGAAATAAGTAAGGTGGCAGTACTTCCCTGGACGAGCTCTTTCACAATAAGTTCTATTATTTTATATTACTATAAGAACCGACGTCTTCTAGCAAACCGTGTCTTGTATTAATAATTATAACTTTTTTTGTTGCTTAGAATAATAACGCTTAGAATGATAGTTTCATATCAAACGAACTGTCACAAGTGAGGCAAAAATCAAATTCATGTAGGCTAGTTTTAGTAGTAGGTTAATTTTCGGTTTTAGTTAATATTTACATAAAGATACAAGTTGAAACGCGTTACTTCCTTGTAGAATGTGATGTTAGTATCTATTTTATGTTTGTCTGACGTATTTTTACACTCATTTACCGCCCATTTCGTCATTTTTAGCTAAAATTCTTGAGCTGTTCGCGGTGCAAGTTGATCTTGAGCACTGAAGGCCCGCCCGCTCGTGTAGGCCCATAGGGAGCGCTTCAATTTGCCTCACTTAGCGTGTGCGGACTAGGTTTCTATGCGTTATTATTCTAAGTTTTGTTGAAAGTAATATCATAGTGATTCGTTTACTTGACAGATATACTTAATCCTCAAGAAAGATTATGTTGTAGAATGTTTCATAAAAAAGCTGTTATAATCGTAATTGGGTCCTGATTTTACGAACACCTACCCACTAGTCTAAAAAGTGTTACAAATGACGAAGTGTTTTGTTCCCGACTGAAAGAACTTTTATTGGATATTGAATTCTACAGTGAAGAGTAATTAATTTCTTTTAAAGAAACTGTAATTATATTTTAATTTTCGACGTTTGTAATTTGAAAATATTTAATTTCTATTTGTATTTTAGTAGTTCGTATTTTTCTTTCAATTATTTTATTAACAATAAAATTATTGTTCACATTAATGGCGATCATGTTATCCCTTGACATTATATTTTGAATTGTAATATTGTGAAATTGATAATATGAAATAAATTATTCTATTCTATTCTAATTATTACTAAAAAATAACCTAAAATAGAATTTCTCTAAATCCCCAATAATGAACACGAAAAATCTAGTAATTAATTAAGCAATAATCGACACCCACAAATAATGAACATCCGTAATTGACACTTACCAATAAGAAACGTGTTACTATGATTGAAAATTTTATTATAAATCTTATTAAAAATTAATTTAAATTAATTTAATTTAATTAGCTACAAAAGAGGAATCATTTTACACAAAGTTCCAAACATTTTTTATTAAACCGACTTAAAACAATAGGAGGTTTTCAATACGACTGTATGTTTTTTTTGTGTATATTGGTGATTCTTTTTTGTTGGAAAGGGGGTATTTAATTTAAAGGTGGCAAACTAGGGGATGAATGGCTTGTCGTGCGTCTGGTGTTATATAACACGCCTATTCATAATAGTTGCAGTCGGAGTTTTATACTGCGAAGATCAAATTATCAAGATCAAATCAATCATGTCATCGCGGCATATGTTATTCAGCTAATGAATACAATTACAAGATATTTCTGGATTGCCACGCAGGCGCCCGGATTCATTTATTTCCCTCGGGAATTTGGATGTATTTGTGGTTGTCTATGTGTGTGTCCATGGCACCCGCGATACAAGGTTGATGAAATGGATAATCCGTGCAAACGGGCTGACCTGAGGAGCTGACTTATATAGTCCCTGTACAGGGTGTCTACTCAGGTTCTCCGTCCGACATCCATCCGAAACAATTAGAAAGAAGAAAGAAAGAAAAATTGTTTATTAGCGTCATAATTATGCCATATTACAATTTACAAATTTTACATTCTTAAGCCTAGATATAAGTATAACGCTAAACCGACGTCTACTCAGCATTAGTCGAGGCATATTGCAACACCCCAACACTGGTCTTCCGGAGACACCGGCCAGTTAGGAAGTACCAGTACGCGCTGCAACGACACACCGAACCATATAATATATGGTGACAAGTACGAACTCAATATGATGTAATAAAATACTTAACAGTTAATGGTAAAAATATTAAATTAAATGTTCATTGGTATTGCAGGATAATGTAATATTAATAGAGTAAATTATAGGAACCCACTAAGTAAATGCCAATATTGCATCTATACAACACAGCACAGGCTAAGTTAATTTCTGTTGATTCAAAAGATACTGTTTATATCTAAATTTAAAAGATTTTACAGTGTGACAATTTCTAAAAGGTGGTGGAATATTATTCCAACATTTCGTAGCGGCATAACGAAAACTGCCACGAAATGCTGCTGTACTGTGTTGCGCACTCAAAAAGCGCTGGGCAGATCTATATATCGATAGTTGGACGTCCAGAAAGAGTGAGTTTATCGTACAGATAGAGTGGTGATTACTGCCAAATAAGCAATACTTGACCAAATGAAAAGACGCGTGATGCGAATGAAGCTTCATACATGATAGTCTTTTAATTTTGTCGAATATTACTTATTTGACCATTGTCTTACACATAAATGGACGACGGGTCTAATACAAAAACCACGAAAAAAATGTCCCAAGTCAACCTATTTAAACGTAGTGACATGTACAGGAATATGAAAAAGCTACAACGTTGAATTTCAATTGTAATGTCATCGCAGTACTGTCTAATTTTGCTTGCTTCGCTGTCAGTCGAACAAACGAAGACTACAGCGTGAATGACGCTCTGTATACGATTTTAACGCACTATAAGTTCGGACACTGTTTAGCGCGGACCCGACGTCCATATAATTGTAAGTCAATGTATTTGACAGTGATTGTTTCGGACGGATGTCGGGCGGCGATCGAGAGTAGCTCCCCTGGTTCGCTTGCACAGGTCATAGTGTCCTTCCCGCATAACCGAAAGTTGACAGGAAGGGGCACTATAAACAAAACTTATGTAGAAAGATATTATGTAGTTGGCGTGTCCACTTGGCCAGGAAGCTCAGATTGAAACAAGAAAAAGAGATTTCTCATAGATGGCGCTACGACTAAAAAGTCGTTGAAAAACCAAATACAAAGACACGACGCAAGCACATAGAAAAATTCGTGAGGTCCGTTGGGTCGTTCCATGGCTTAGTTGGTATAGCGTCTGGCACGGTATGCAAGAAGACGTCGGTTCGAATCCGACCTGATCAAAGGATTTTTTTCTGAGTGTTCGATCTTTGTATTAATTATTATAACAAACTAGTGGAGTAATTTCACAAAAAAGAATTGAATATCAATTCAATAAAAATTTAATTAATACAGTGAATAGCGACATCTCTCGCCAGGACTGGTAACTGTAAAGGTACTAACTGGGTGATAAATCTTTCAGAGATTTCTCATAGATGGCGCTACGACTAAAAAGTCGTTAAAAACCAAATACAAAGACACGACGCAAGCACATATAAAAATTCGTGAGGTCCGTTGGTTCGTTCCATGGCTTAGTTGGTATAGGGTCTGATACGGTATGCAAGAAGACGTCGGTTCGAATCCGACCGGATCAAAGTATTTTTTTCTGAGTGTTCGATCTTTGTATTAATTATTATAAGAAAAAGAAAATTACCGTATAAAATTTTCAAAAACATTATTCACTTTCCGTAGCAGTATAACATATTATTGAACGCAATACCACAGAGAACTGAATGGCGACAATAAAACCATAAAGGTTTATCTATAATCAGGTACTGGAAATTAAATTACGTGCGCAAGGCGTTAAGCAGTTCTTAATTATTTATTACTGTTAGAAAACCTATTATTCCTTCACACAGAGATGGGCAGTGGGTTAAAACCCTATTAACCTGCCCAGGTTTTAGTCAGGCTTCTATCCAAGTGTTTTAAAGCGAGTCACTGGAGGAGAAGCTGGAAAACTGTTTTGCTAGATGACTGTAGTAGCAGTAGAGGTCGTTGTGAAAGAGTTCGGCCGGGGAATTACTGCCATCTTACCTTTTTCTGCCACCAAGCAGTAACGTCAGCATTACTGTGTTTCGGTGCTGGTGAAATTACAGGCACATGGGACTCATAGAATAGAATAGAATAGAATAGAATACATTTATTACATAACACCACAACACAATAATAAACAGTGAAAAATAAAAAGTAAAAAAAATAAAAATAAAACAAAACTAAATTAAAACTAAAACAAAGTAAATTAAAACAAACAGAAAATGAATAACAAAAAAGAAAACTAAATAAAATTAATTAAAATTAAGATCTTCGCAATAAATAATTATGCGACCACAAAGCTGTTCTTGCTGGACTTATGTGTCAGGGTGTCGGGCGCAGTGGCAGTGCCCAGATCTTTGCGATTTAAAACTCTGTGTGGCACTACAACTGTTATGGACAGGCGTGTATCATAAAAAAAATATTTTTACGAATCTTACATTTTACGAATGGTTTTATCAAATTACGGTCTTATGAAAAATATACAATACATCTAAGGATATTGTCTAAAGAGTGTCAAATTTGTTACACGTTAGGATGTACTTCACCCGACATGTAAAATCTAAAAAACAACCTAAAATAAAACTTTAGAACGAATTTCATGAATAAAATATCTAACTTTGTACATAATTTTTATATGGAGAATACTTGAATACTGAATACTGCAGAGAACCTGCAAAATTTTGGTTTTCAACTGATACCCTATAGTTATTAACCGA